AGGGTATATCTTCTGGACTCTCCCAGCTGGGATGAGTAGGTCTAAAATGACTAATCCACTCCAGCATCACAGTTTCCCTAAGCATTTGGATCCCTTCCTCTACATTAAACCAAGGCAAGAAATCAAGCATTTCCAGATTACTTAGTGGGCCATTTTTAAATCCACGTTTCAGCTAACTAAGCAAGTATACTATTAGAACTTTTTTTTTTTTTTTTTTTCCTGAGGCAGAGTCTCACTCTGTCACCCAGGCTGGAGTGCAGTGGTGTGATCTCAGCTCACTGCAACCTCTGCCTCCTGGGTTCAAGCAATTCTGTACCTTGGCCTCCCGAGTAGCTGGGATTACATGTGCCCACCACCATGCCCAGCTAATTTTTGTATTTTTAGTAGAGACGGGGTTTCACCATCTTGGCCAGGCTGGTCTTGAACTCCCGACCTCATGATCCATCCACCTCAGTCTTCTAAAGTGCTGAGACTACAGGCATGAGGCACTGTGCCTGGCCTTAGAACCTTTTTTAACTCCCCAAGCTGCAACATTAAATGCAGAATTCCTACTTAGTGGGCCCAAATCAATAAATTCAGTCTGATTAAACTCTGTGTTCCTTCCACCATTATCTCACACCCTTAATATCTATTCCCATGCCTGTTCTCTAGATTTCTGTTTATGTAATTTAAAAACGTAAGCAGTTCTTTTCGAGTGTAGTGCACCCCCTCGTGGGTCACACTCTGAACTTCACTTCCAGGGGCCCGCCAGGACTTTAGCCTAGTTATAGGTCTAGAAACAAACAGGGGTGTTGGGGGTGGGTCCTGAGGAGAAGCAACATTATCTTGACTGGTAACTGCCTCAGAGGAGGCCATCACTGTTGCCTCAGGAAGCACAGGGTTTATCTCCTCAGACAAAGGTGGAAATTTCAGGTCTTTCTCTACAGGAGATAAGACTCGTACTCAGGGCAACCTTAGTAGATTTGAGGCTCAGTATCTGCTTCTGAAGCCAGGAGCTGGAATCCCTAAGTTTATCATTTTCTTTCAACCCTTTGTCCAGTGAATTTAGGAGCAACCAACCAACTTCATTATGTTCCTTGATTCCCCACATATGGTCAAAGATATTAAGTATAGGGTTACTAAACTTTTTTCTCATGAGCGGGCAATCAGGAGTGTCAAATGCATTTATTTTGCATAATTCTCTAAACAGTTCACACCAAAGCCTATCAGTGTTCTCCACACCATTAGAATTAGAGTCCTTAGCATTTTGGGGTCTAATCACGTTAAGCATCCAACTCCAGAAACCCCAAAACCAATGAAAGACCTCCATCCTTAATATTCTGTTTCTCTAGAACCACTCCTGATACAAAAATCTGTATTACTCAGGGTTCTCTAGAGGGACAGAACTAATAGGATAGATGTATATATATAAAGGGGAGTGTATTATGGAGTTTATTAACTCCCATGATCGCGAGGTCCCACAATAGGCCATCTGCAAGCTGAGGAGCAAGGAAGCCAGGCCAAGTCCCAGTGCTGAAGAACTTGGAGTCTGATGTTAGAGGGCAGGAAGCGCCCAGCACAGGAAAAAGATGTAGGCTGGGAGGCTAAGCCAGTCTAGCCTTTTCACATTCTTCTGCCTGCTTTTTATTCTGGTCCTACTGGCAGCTGATTAGATGGTGCCCACACAGATTAAAGGTGGGTCAGCCTTTCCCAGCCCACTGACTCAAATGTTAATCTCCTTTGGCAACACCCTCACAGACACACATAGGATCAATACTTTGCATCTTTCAATCCAATCAAGTTGACACCCAGTATTAACCATCACACAATATAATCTCTTTAGACTGAGAATTCTCTCACTCCTTTTGGTATATGGTAAATATCCTACCATGAGAGACTTGCCTATGGCACACTGCAAACCAAGATTTTCCTGTAGGGCAGGTACACAGAAAAGAGACAATGGAAGGATGGTTAACCATAATTTTCTTTTCTCATCAGAGCTAGCCTGTCTGTCAAGGAACCCTTGTCACCTCCTAAGCAGTATTAAGGATTTTGTTATTGCTCTGTTTTTAGAAATTCTGCTCCTTGTAATTTATTTACAAAGTGATTTCCAAAATTGTATCTCATATACCAAGTTTATAAAGGAAGCTTTGCTTTTTGACCACCTAGTATAGCTCATTCATTTGTGTATCTCTTCAGTGGCCTGCTTCAAACAATGCTACCACAAATACCATATATTAAAATCCTAATACAAATATCAAATATTAGGATGATCTCAAAAACTCTATCTCTTACCCTAGGATGACATGCCTAGAACCAGTATATTATGTGGCAAATCAGATTCTACTCACCACCCTATGTGGGAGTATTTTGCGAGTGTGTTGAAGATGCCCAGGATAGATAGGGAATTGTCACTATCCAAACTGAAAATTTACATCGAATTGCTGTTATCGCACAGGAGCCGGGGGTATGGATGGATCAGTCAGGGAACTTCTGTGGGGATGAGGAGGCGTCTATGTCAGGGGAAGGACTGCTGATTCTGGGCTGTTACACTGGAAGCAGGGCACAGCCTTCACAGAGAGATTGTAGGGACGAGCTGGTCAGCAGGACAGGTTCTGGAGTTGCTCAGGAGAGCACACAGGAGAGACAAGAAGGAGGGTGCTGTAAACTGGGAAAGTGCTGAGGCTGGACAGAACTGCTGGCACCTGGACAGAGTCAGCTCTCAAGAAACCTAGGGCTCAGAATAGGAGTTCCTTAGGTAAATAAAGTCCACAACGATCCCCACATTGCATTTATTCTCATCGTCACCTTACTTCTCTAGTCCTATCTGAATATCTTGGCCACAGGGTTCATCTTTATGTCACCTGAGAAATGTTAAGAATTGTGAAGAGAAGTAGCTTAACAGGCAAAGACCTTCCTGAGGCTGGGAGGAGTGGAGACGGTATGTGCCTAGATCAATTCACAGCAGGTTTCATGTTCCAGCCCTATCACATTCTAGCCATGTGAACTTGGAGGAATTCATTAAGCACTATGAGACTTAGGTTCTTCATCTGGGTAAAATGGGTTGGATAAGTCCTTTATTATAGATGTTCTGGAATGTACGTAATGTGAATAAAACACCTGTCACAGTGACTGGCATGTATTGGAATTTTAATAATGGCAGTCGTTATCAATAGAATTAAAACTTCAAAGTCTACTACTGTCTTTTATGAAAAATTTAGCTCTTGTTTTTGTTATCTGAAACATCTCAGAGAAGATGTAGGTGAATATGTCATAAAATACCAACTCAACCAAAATTTCGGCTTCATAAATACAACTCAGTACATTTTCTTTCTGAAATAATATATTATATAACATGGGTAAGGGGAGAATTCCCCAGGTGGAATGCAGCTCAAAGATCCTAGAATTTGAATCAAAGACCAACTCTTTTTTGCCTTTCCCTTTGCTCACACATCCAAATCACTATTTCTATTTATCCTCCACTAAAAATCTAGCCCTTGCTTACAGTTGCCCACATTACATTCAAAATAACCTAATTAAATGTCCTTTCAATGGAATGGGCTCTGGCTCTCCCAGGCTAGGAAAATGAATGCCAGCTTAGAAGCTTCTGGGAAGCATTTCAAGGAGTTATCGCCTTATTTCTCAGGAAACCTTTGCAAATGATGGGTATCAATCACCTAGTCTTTGCACTGTGTTCAAGCTCACCAGTTTGAGAGCTGCAAGACACCTTCCATTAATTCACCATGTGGAGACTCCTCTCTGCCTCATCCTCCACCCAGAGGGAACTGCTCAGAGCAGTTTTCCATTGCAGGCTTTTCTCTCACCTTCTGAGTCTGGCCCCTGGCACCACCCAGCTTCATAACAATCAGCTCCCACAGAAGCATCTGCAGTTTCCTGAATCCCCAAAGTACTTTAGCTCAGGGACTTTATACTTGAAGACTCCATCTGGAGTCTCACCTCCCCACTCTTTGTAAACTTATGATTGTAGAGAGCATCTTACCACCTTCTTGACATGGCTTCTGCTCCTAGATTCTACTGTTTTATAGGTAAGGCATAACTCTTGCTTTTCACATGTATCCCCACTACTAAGAGTCCCCTCCGCAAGCAAATGCTCACAGAATGTTAGGCAGATAAAGCAGTCAGAGATGCTTTTATTTATTAACATTTAATTTCTGCTACTTTCTTGAATGAGCTAAGAAAAGCCAGGTCTATTTCTTTAATTTTCAAGAACAATAGACTAAGCAGGATAAGCAAATGTAACTATTCACCATCATTTATTTTGTTCCACTATTTAACTGCTGAGTTCTTACACATTTTCAAGAAAATTCCTAGTGCAATACCATGTTATCCTGTTACAGATCACAAAATAAGAGACAAACTTTTTCCAATTTTTTTTACAAAATATCAGACTGTTACTCTTAAACTAGATAAACAGCAATACATGTGTGACTAATATTTATAAAATAATATTCTGAAGCTAATTCAACCTACTGTTAAAAGGAAAATCATTCAAAAAGTACACAAAAGGAAAAGAGGTAAATCTCCATCTCTCCCGTATGGAACAGAAATGCGAAGAACACTGTGTTGTTCCCTCAAGCCCACCTGGGCCCTCCACTACCTAGTACCTCAACTGCCCTCTTCAAACACAGAGGTAAGAAACTGCCCTAGACTTCACTCAAGACAGGAGAAGATTTTGGAGATGCCACGGAACCTTGCACTGGCCATGGCAGTAGCATCATTTTTGGTGTCAATTATGGCCTGGGCTCTGTCTTCCACATCTTTCAAAGCATCCTTGGAGGAGGCTGGAAAGGAACTAGGGACGGTATTGTTTTGCATGGCCAAAATCTCACTACTTTCTTCTTGTTAGTTTCTGGATGGGCTCTCGGACCCCACAGGAATTCATAACGTAGAAGAGCACTACTGGGCACATGCCGGTACTCCAGGTAATGTCCCTGCACTCAAACTTTAGTGGCGAGCTCCCTGGGCTCCCCACAGATGAAGTCCACCCTCTGAGCATACACCCCTATTGCATTCAGCACTTCCCAGATGAACTCCTCAGACGCACAGTTGCCCTCAATGAAGATCACACTCAGAATAAGAATCAGGAGGCGGTTCTGGGGCATGCCCTGCTCATCACACACTCCCCTCACAGCTGAGGTCTAATGTGTTTACAAAGACGTAGGAGTCCTCAGGGTCCACCTCTCTCAGGGAAATGCCAAAAAGAATGGGATAAAATTTTTACAATCTACTCATCTGACAAAGGGCTAATATCCAGAACCTACAAAGAACTCAAACAAATTTACAAGAAAAAAACAAAC